AGACATAACTTTATCATTCATCAATCAAACTTAGACAAATTTAAAACAAAGTTAAAAAATATGTAAACTCTATGTGCTTTCTTATCAAAGAGTATCAAACAATGTTTTCATACTATAAACAAGAAAGTATATTAATTATTCTCATAATCATAGAATTTAAATAACTTATCAACCCCAATGAACAACTTAGTTTGGGTCCCGTCTGATAATAAATTTTATATATTTCACATTCAAAATAATAATATGAGAAAATGAGGTATTAAAACAAAACTAAAGTTATGTTCCCCATTGTCTTTCTATGGAATTATGTTGTTTAGCATGATATATTAATATATAGCTTTTGCCTTAAGCTTACATGTTGATATTTAGTAGACCATATCCGCTAATATATTTAACTACCATGTGTTATACCTAAGTCGGGTGAATTAGTCAAATTAATTGCTAACTATCTTCTTAATTAAACTCATGAACTGGGTTAATTGAACTTATCTTCATCACTTAAGATTTGATCATTCCAGTATTCGTTTGTTCAATAAGTGAAGTTGAACATAAATTACAAGAGCTCATTAAGGTTGTAAAAACGGTTCATAAATTTGATAAAGAGCTCGAAAGCTCTTGAGTTTACATATAAGCTAATATATATTAATTCTACTTTTAAATAAATTACATTATCTATTATAACTGTTCGCTATCAAAATTCAAAGCCACAAGCCCAAACTGACTCAAATTAAGCCTATCATTTTCATGCTTGCATAAAATTTGAGCCACAAGTCAAATATGATTTTATGAAATCTGCAATAAGCTTGACTCTCTCTAGATAGACAAATGGCTCAAAAAGGAGGAGGCGAAGTTCGATTATGTATTGTTTTTCTAGAAGCGAGATTTTATCTTTATTTTATTTAAATGGAGTTCTAGAAGGGAAAATGTCCTTTTCTTGATTTCCGTGTTGGGATTGAAATTCTGGAATGTGGAAAAGAGCAATAGCGGCCCATGCGCTGGCGACATAGCCCAAGACTTTAGGCAATCTGGAAGCTTTTCCCCATGAAAATTGTTATTGCGTTGGATTGGTAATTTGGCACTTGGCAGCCTCTGCTTTTTTCATGCTTTGACGAAAGGTTAGTGAACCCCAAAGCCAAGGACTTGTACACTTACAATAAGAAGCTTCTGTTGCATCTACGCTATGAATTAATTAAGCAATTGCAATAAATTATTTTAGGAACTTTCTAATGTAATTATTTAAATTCCTTTGCTTCAATCTAAAATAAAAAAATCTATTTACTTATCTACACAACAAGTTAAAAAATTTCAAAATTAAACTATGAACACGTTGATAGTGACAAGTTACCACCACATGAGCATTTAATGTGTTTTATGACGTATATTGTTTTAGGCAATTCATAGTTGCCAATAATAAATGCTTTACATGTCATGAGTCTAACCAGGTCGGTCCATGTCTCACGCAAAAATAAACCTTAACCTTAGCTTGTCCTTTTTATTCTATCTATGAGGTCAGTCCACGGCTCACACAAAATTAAAACCTTAGCTTATATATCCCTTTTATTTAGTCTAATCGTGAGGTCGACTTGTACATGTCTCACACCAAAAATAAACCTTAAGGTCATCCCATTTAATCTGCTACACATGAAAGAAGCAATTTGGTATACGTTATGTGCAATGGTTTGTCTTACTCTTGGCTAGATGATAAATCTTGGCTATCGCAATATCAGAACTACAAACATCACCACTGTTACTGAATTATATAATTTTGTTTAGAATTTAACCATAGGACGTTAATGCATCCCAGTATTTAATTAAGTGATTAGTTTATAATTTTCTATTAAAAGAGTAATGTTTAAATCTCTCTTTTTTAAAATAAAAAAAATGTATTAACAATTATATTATATGATTTTCATTCTCTCAAATTATGGTAAATGAAATGCACTTGTTTGGATGTGGATCCCCAAACTACTGAGACAAAAAGGGTGAGCAGGCATTATCCATGCCTAATCCTTAATAATTGAATCGACTAGGATTTAGTTTTTGGGCATCCCACAAATAAATGGTTGGTCACAACTGAAGCGAGAGCCCTACCTCATCTCACAGACTCCGCTATTAGTGTACAAAGTTTTGGCCTCTAGGTAGTTAGAAAGCAAGATGAGTGGCTACTGATATAATTTGCGTAACATCACAAATGTGATAATGACTTGAACAAAGCGACTAAAAATAATCGATAATATGACAATAATTTAAGTGAATGTGAATAATGCTATGAAATAGAAAGCTAGAATCTAGTCTATAAAGTTGTGAATAGGGAAATAGGTGACGACACCCAGGTCGGTGAAGCCGGTTTCCAGGAAAGAGATGACTCACCGCCAAATGCCTCTTCGCCGTACCTATCGCCCACCTGTTGAACAGTTAAAATATAATACAGTGTACTGTTTTCTCACCGATATCATCTAAGCAAAGTTAAGCGACAAAAACAACGAGCGGATTGGATTTGTGTCCAGTTAGCACTCAGCAATAAGGGAGGAGTTTTTGGCTTTAATTAAAATGGTATGCCACTTTCCTATCCTATCGCCCCATTCTTTGGTCATGCAGTTCATAAGTCAAACAGAGTTACCGTCGTCCTTGCCTCAGGGCATGAACTGGTGGGGCAATTTTTTACTTATTACGTGAGGATCCAGTCAAAATTTAAAGCAAGTTTTTGACAAAATTTGCAGTTCCTTAGAGGATCCACTGTTTGGACTCCCAACTTTCAAGCCACACGTTGAAAAAGACGCCAAATCTGTTCCAACAACCAATCATATCTGGCAAATTTTCACCAAAGAAAACATTAATGCTGTAGTTGAAATGTAAACGTTACATATGTTAAAAGGAAACATGAGTCGAAGCTTCCACATTTTATATAAAAGTAGGGAAATTTTCAACAATACATGGAGAAAACGAAAGCATCTAAGCAACTAAAGGGTGATGAACATTGGGCACTTTGACATTTGTCATTCTCCATCTACAAGAATTTCTCTATGCTTGCAGATAGTGTAGTTTTGGGTACAGCACCAATAACTGCATCTTTCTTCTCACCGTTGACAAAGAACATGATTGTTGGGATGCTTCTGATTCCATATTGTGTAGCAATTGAAGGACTATCATCAGTATTCAATTTAAAGCACTTGAGTTTTCCAGCATATTGCTGTGCTAGTTCACCTATTACAGGATGGATCATGCGGCATGGCCCACACCAAGGAGCCCAGAACTCAACTAGTACAGGCCCATCAGCCTTGAGTACAAGTGATTGCCATGTTCTATCAGTCACAGCTGGAACTGCCAATGTTACAAGCAAAGGAACAACCGAATTATATTGTTTCATGGAGAGACTACATATTTGAATCAAGCAGTTACTTAGTTGTAACACTTGCCAGTTTTAAGGATCACTACTTCAGAACTAGATGACATGGGTTTTATCGAATAACTGACACTTTCTTCTTTAAACAGCATAGAATTCTCATTTTTCAAGCTGAATTTAAAATAGGCTACCAAACTTAAAATATCATGCAATTTCCATAACAGCAGTACTGATTTGCTCAGAATATTCACCTTTTGATTGCAAGTCCCAGTAAAATCATAAAATATTTCAATAAGTTTTCAAAGATGAATACTTAATGCTCACATATAGATTAATCCGACAACAAATTTACATTAAAATTAATTTTGTATGATCTTTCAGCAACAATTCCTATTAGTTTTTAGTTTGATGGAGGATTAAATCCCTCTTTACATAGATGGGCGACGAACAACAAGAAAAGGTTTATACAGAGAGAAATGATTAATGAGTTCATTATTTTGCACAAATCTTGTTGTTCCCTAATCTTTAAGGGCCTTACTTAACTCCAATTATATGCTGATGAATGCCAATAGAATTGCTCCTAAGCCATGCATAGAATCAACCACAACAGTAAGCATTGCAACAAAACTGAAGGCAATGATATCTTGCATTCCTCTATTGTCAAAACATTTCTTTCTCAATATAAAGAGATCATTTTCAGCCAAATTGTTAGACCTTGATAATTAACTTTCAATTTCAATTCCCCACCCTGCCCCTACCAAAAGAAATCATTTTCAGCTTCCAATTTCATGTCAAATAGCAAGTAGAAATTGCATCAATCTCTTCCTCACTAGAAAAGAAACAATCACAACAACTAGGTAATATCTTCTACTGACATGAATAAGGCCATTATTTATGCGGTTCCAAGTGGTAAGCATATCGACCACGTTTATTTCTCCCTTAGGCTCATAAATACATGTTATAAACTAAACATCGAATTTAGCTATCAGGAAAATCGGTTAGAGAACTTGAATGACATTCCCAAAGGCCTAAACCATGTAAACACACATCGCGTCAATACAATGCTACTGTCAACTCCTACCTCCAAATTTAACATATTTCCCCTGAATTCTTGCGTATCAAAACTACTTCAACCTTAATTCCAGAAACCACGATACAATTAGTTACACTTTCAACTAAAATTTTTCTATGTTCCCAAGAGAGTGAGAGAACAGAGCTTACTATCAACAGCAGTATCTCGAGCTTCGCAAACAACGGCGGCTCGGCGCTTGGAAACCCCAGGATATCTCGAATTGTACGACGCGAAAGAAAGCCTCGAATAAGATTGGATCTTCAACCCTTTACATTCCGGCAAACCTCGGCGATTAGAAAGAGAAACCAGCGGCGATAAAGTCATCATTGCCGGCCCAGAGACGGAGGTTCCAAAGCGTGAAGAAGAAGGGGAAGAGAGGGCGGCCATCGACGTTGCTACTGACGCCATTGAAGAGAGTGAGATAGAGATTGTGTTAGCATATGAAAAATATTTAATTCATTAAATTTCAAGGTTTTTCTTCACAAGAAGTTTACTTGAAATTTAATTGAAAAAAAAAAAAACCTTGTAACTATTGAGCATTTGAATATTTAATATATCTCATACAGTTTGAAATTCCCAGGGGCCCACAGCCCACAACTCCACTCTTGCTAAACTCTTTTCTTGTGTTTAGTATTGGGCCAAAACCAGTTTAGTTCGGGTCGTTTGAAATCGCTTTCGGCCTAATGAAGGACTAAGATTAAAAAATAGAAAAATCGAAAATGGGGAAAGAAGTGAAAAACCCTGGGAAAACCCAGCAAAAAACCATGCTGAACAGCAATAGGGTCTTGACATTCACATTGGAATTCTCCCCATCTCTCAAATTCTCAGCCAAAACCCACATAGAATTTCGACCCAGAAGCCTTCACAGCTCAATCATGAACTCTGCATCTCGTTCTTCTCCAAGAGAAGCTCAAGTAAATGATACTGCTTGCGGTGGCAGCGTCACATTGGAGGAGTGGCAAGGTTGGGGCTGTGTATCTCCAGTTCCGGCAATGGTAAACGAGGTTATTCATGATTTGAAGCTCTTGGAGAATAATATTGATGCCCACATGGTTTTTGGTGGTAATGGTGGCAAATTTCAGGTTCACCACCATTCAACTTTTTTCACTCCCTTTATTTTTTTGGCATTAGTAGTAATACTCTCTCTCTCTCTCTCTATATATATATATTTATATATTACTATAGTATTTACTTTTGAATTTCTTTCTTGGATATCTGAAAGGAAAATGTTTGTCCCTTTGCTATTTCATTTTTTATGTCTGAATTGGGAGAAATACCAGTATGTACTGATAGAAGAATGTTTAAGAGATATAGCCTTGTGGCTGCGCCGGATATTTTGTTATTTGAAAAGATAAGACCCTCTTTTCTACCTTGCCTTATCATCTATTTGGATCACAGAAAATATTGCATTCGAAGAACCTTCATATTTGCCTGTTACTCTTGTTCAATGGCGATGCAAATGGGTCTAAGCCAATGTTCTGAACTTTTAATTTCACTTAGACTTAGGTACATATACTCAAACAGAGTAGTCATGATTTTCTCATGGTTTATCACTTTCCCAACTATCTGTTTCCTGTAGTTTCTGCAGTGCTACGTACTTGTTGTTATCATCATTTCTTTCCGTTATTGCATTTTCTTATTTTAGTCTGTTGCGGTAAATGTTAGGGAGATTTTAAAATTCAGGAGGATAAGAAGCACAGAGCTAAATATCAGTCTTTGGGAGACTCAGACAAAAAGTTCCAGTTCTTTTCTGCTCGACAAATAGCATGCCGGTTGCTTGGAAGCCGGGGCTACCTCTGCCAGAAGGTATGTGGTGCTTTTCAGAGATATGTTGTAGAGGAGAAGAACAACCCTTAGAAGTAATTTTGTATCTTTTCATAATTTGATAACAAATTTTATCAATTGTCAGTGTTGGCTTCCTATGGAAGATTGTATGTGTTCAAAAGTCAGGCCTTGCTCACTATGGCGTGGCGTAAAGTTCTGGTTGTATATGCACCCAAAGGTTAGAATTTCCTTTTACCATTTGATATATTGGTGCCCCTGATCAATAGTATATTTTTTTTATAACATCAAATCTGTGATCTTCCCTTTTTAGGATTTTCTACGGCAAAACAACACTGGGAAGTTGTTATGGCAAGTATTTGGTGTTCAAGCTGCAACTTTGTGTCTTTATGGAATTTCTGAAGATGAGGAAATCATGTGGAATGCATTTAAGGATGCAGGTTTCTTTTAGCCTTCTTTAAAAATGGGAAAGTATGCAGTATTGATGGTTACATTATTCACGGAACTGTGTGGTTGAGTTCTTAAGCTCATTTTAGAACTGGTGCGATTACTTTTGGTCCATAAGAAGTGTCACATAGTGAAAATCTTATTTCTTCTTGCTACTTACTTATCTAATTCTTTTCTTTATGATGTAATCATCTTTTACTTCGGCAAAGATAAAAAAAAAAGCTATCATCTGCACTTTCTGACTGACGGAGACATATTTTGGGTTTACCTTTTTTATTATGTTCTTTTGTGATTATGAATCTAGGATAAATAGCAAACTGTGTCAAAACACTAACTATTAGGGTTTGCCCCGTTATTACATGTGAGCTGTTACCTCGTCTTGCAACATATTAAGCTATAGGTGCTCTGCCTTCTAAGTTTTATGTAATTTAATATTTTGGAATTTAAGAAAGGTCTACCTACTGAGTTTTGATCATGTTCTTTGCAATTTCAGGAAAAGGCAAGGTTTGGTGCCTTTATCCTAACCAGAATATAGTACCAAAGACAGTTCAGGATGCCTTTAGCTGTCAATCTTCAGTAGATCTGGAATGTACACATTCATTGGTACTGCCCTCTTAACATGATAGTACATGCTAAATCACCCTTTGTACAATGTGCTTGCTTTCTGTTTTACTTCAAGATATTTGAGAAGTAGTGTGTTGATTTTGATAGAGTGGAGATTTCATTAATGTGATATAAAGGTCATATTTCATCACATGTTAAAATTTGCACAGAACCTTCTTCTTTGTGTATGTTTTTTCAGATTTTATAAATATTTTTATTCCAATTGAAATGTTATATATTAATATTTTCAAATACATTTTTAATTGCAGTGTTTGTGTTTGGTTCATTGTTTAAATCCTTTCCTGTCAATATGCTTTGTCCGATGTTACTTTTCTTCGTGAAATCACTGCACTTGTGGTGAAGCGTTTAGAGGAAGACATCTGGTATTGTTGGGGTAAATGACTATGACAAGAGTAATATTCGAAACTTACTGCTATTGTATTTTGCAAATGATTGAAACATATTAAATTAAAAAAAAAATTAATAATGGTAGCCAAGTGCACACAGCTCTTGAGTTAACACATCTCAGGTACAATTCAATATATTTGCTTGTTATCTGTTACCTCTTCTTTTGAATTATTTCAACCATATAATTGTCTTTTGATATTTTCTTGTCAATTTGTTGCACAGACAAATAGAGATAGAGCTCTGAATTTTGTTCTGATTGATGGTACATGGAGCAATTCTGCGGCAATGTTCAGGCGTTTAAAGGTAATTTGGTAAAGCATTTCCTTTTACCTTTGATTTTGTCAAAACATTGTGTTCTGAGTTATGGGTTATACTATAATTTTTTTTAACAAGAAATGTCTACATTGATGCGATCTCTACTCAGATTCCTCAGAAATTTACCTTCATGATTAACCTATGGTGCTAAACTTTTAATACATGGGGCTGGAAGTTCTGTAGAAAGTGGGTAGAATTGCCTCTGCTTATATGCAGCCTGCCTTGTAATCAAAATTATGTATAGTTCTGCCATTGCTAATTATGACGTAAACCGTATATTTAAAAAAAAATTTCCTTGACTTCTATTTGAGAATTTCATAGAAATGTTATTGTAGGAGCAAGCAAAGTTCCTCTGGGGTGAGGAGGACCTGCCTTGCATATCTCTTGCTGCGGGTGCATCTCTAATGCATAAACTTCGGTAAGGTGTAAATTGCTTTCCATGGTTCTGTCTGTGATACTCTCTTCCTCTTTCCGATTTCATATGCAACCGCTTCTTAGTTTGATTCTTAAATCCCTTTGCTTCAGTTGAAATATATAATAACCATCTATGTTGTTTTGAGGGCAGACCTCAACCATCATGGGACCGTACTTGTACAGCAGCGGCAGCTATTGGTGTTCTTGCTGAGCTGCAGCTTCTTCCAGAGTGTAGCTCCTATGGATTGGATAAACAGGCTGAAGCAGTGGAAGATGCTTTAGTTGTTCTGCTGGAAGCACTGACGGCTCGACGCCTTCGGATGGGCAGGTCCATCACTCGTAAAATAAGACACTCTAGGGACATTTGTTAACAGCTAAGAGATTTAGTGATGTAGGTGCTGGTGAGCGGGAGCAAGGTTACTCCATTTATTTAGGTATGGATTCTTTATGTTGGTTTCTGCAAATTTTTCCATGATTGACTGGTCTTCAAGAAAGTGGAGTCCCAGCATTAAGATACATGAGATAGATGCTAGGAACAAACAAATCCAGTTTCTCTTTGACCTATCTTTTTATTTTTTTCATTAGATGGTTAACTTTTGTTGATACTAATTGCTTCAGTTTCTATCTCTTGTCCTTTTCATAATCAGGTTCTCTCCTCAAATAAACTATTCTTGAACATTATCATCAATTGTTCTCTTTTATAGGTTTTCTATGTTTGGTAGCAATTGCAACAATAACTACTAACAGATGACGTCAACAATCAAGCGACAAGCAGAGCCATATTTGACTGCTAAGCTCTTCACATTGTCTTTTGAAATTTTGATATAGCGGTGCCTTGTGGAAAATGATCTTATGATTTGTTACCGGCTTCACTATTGATGGCAAAATGACATACATTGACTGAGCAAAGGAGTTCGAGTTGAGAAGATGCTTTAAGTAAACCATCAATTAGTTTTGAAAGAAACTAGTTCATCATGGTGTGCTGTTGCGGAGCTAAATTTTATTGAATAGAGTTAGAAATTTATTATTGTAATTTATTTTTTTAATAGTTTTATTTTTTTTGCATGCATGAACATATCTTTATTTTGTTATTTTAAAAATATAACTTGAAATTTTTGTATATTTGATGATTTTGTTACACATTATTTAAGAATAAATAAAGAAGAGAAAAATTATGAAGATAAAAGGTTGCATACTTTTTTCATTAATTTTTTTCTTCCTCCTTTTCCCTTTGTTTCTTTTATAAAAAATATAAAATCATATAAAAATTTCAAACATCTAGATCAAACAGGTATGCTTGTAAACATTTTTTCCAAAAATAATCTTGAATCATAACGTTTTTTTGAAAGTATTTGTTTGAAAATATTTAGGAAAAAGGGTAAAAGAAATAAAAAAAGGGAGGAAACCAAAGAAAATAACAAAAAAAGGGGTTTATGTTTTTGACAAAAAAAAATCCATGAAAAGCTCAAAACATATGTTCTATTTTTAATTTTAAAATATACAAATTTGTGCATCAAACTTTACTATTTTATATTTTTTTAAGTTTTTCTAAATTATTTTTTTAAAAAAAAAGAAATATAAAGAAGTGAAAATAAAACATGAGAAAGCAAAAAAGAATAATAAAAGAAATTCAAATTTTCATCTTACATTCTCCTCCTTTTAGTAATAAATATATTACTCTTTTCTTCCATATTCCTCTTTTTCTTTTTTTTCCCTAAAAGAGCTCAATATTTTTTATCAATTAAAAAAAATTCATTGAGTAAATGTTTACGCTTAATAATGTTTTTTCTTTATTCTAAATTATGTTTTTTTATTTAAAAATATGTGTATATTGTCTCAAGTTGAAACTTAAATCTAATCTCGTGTGTTCTTATATTTTAAAAATAAAATTTAAATAAATTTATAAATTATAAACTCATATTTCTGATTCAAAAGATATATTTAATAGATGGTAAAAAATTTATATTTATATATTCAACACTCAACTCATCTGCAACATATATATCCATTTTGTTACATATATTTATTTGCAATTAAGACTTTTTATTTTTATTTTCATTTTCATTTTTTTTCTTTCTTCTTTTCTTCTTTTTTTCCTGCATAATTGAAAAATACTAAACAAATTAAAAATACAGAAAATTTAAAAATACAACGAAAAATAAAAAATCCAGAAGATAAAATAGAAAAAATAAAAATATTGAAAATTAAAAAAATACAGAAAATTGTAAAAAAGAAAAATGAAAAAAATACAACAAAAAAAAAGGAAAAGACGTAGGATCAGATTAATGTCGAAAATTTTAAATTTATACAAAAAATAAGCTATGAATCGTCAAATTAATGGGCATAAAAATCCCTTTTAAACAACACTATCAACACATAATAATATTCAAGAATTAGTCAGCAAAAATCATAAAAAGGGGAAGCCTTCGTTTTTCTTGTGTGTGTGTGTGTGTCTTTTTGCGTTTGATTTGGGTTTTGCAGTTTTTTCAGAAAAAAAATGTGTTTTGTTGAGCAAAATCTAGATCTAAATAGATTATATGAAAAAGGAGGTTGAAAGGAAGAGAGAATAATTTTTTTCTTTTGGGTAAAAAGATGTCAGCAAGCGGTGATCGACGATCGGCGACCGATTTGGCAGTTGGAATTTGGGTTTGTGAGGGATGGAGAGAGAAAAAAGGCCCAAAAAAAAGGGATTTTGGATTTTGAATTAAAGATTTATCTAGTTCCTCCAAACTACGTCGTTTCGGGGTGGAAATAAAAAAGAAGGAAAAGTTCTGGCTATTGGGTCAAGCCCAAAACAGTTTCGGCATGAATTTCTATTGTTTTTTTTTTGGAATTCCTTGGACTAAAGTGAAGAATAATTTTTTGGACAAAATGGTTAATAAATCCAGAAGATATTGCATAAATTTTTTCACATATGATGTAAACATTAAAATTTTGCTGGTTTTGTATAAATTCAATGCCTGATTCCAAATGAGCATTAACATTTTTGTTATAGGTTGTATATAGCTTTTGTACAGTCACATGCCCATGCCCATGGTCCATACCTTTTTGTTGCAGAAAGCATTTAATAAACATTGTGCTTTAAATATCAAGACAACGATAACTTTAGTTCTGAATTTAACATTAAAATAAAAGCATATAAAATTATTTCCCTTACCCAAAACATCTTTCAAACGATATTGTCAATAATTGATTAAAACTGAGCCAAGAGCCAAGACACTTCTTCCCTAGCTTTTATCTTGTTCTATAGCCAAAACAAAGAAATACTTTCTTTGGACTAGTTGTTGCATGCACATGTTACTATTTATAAATGAGATAATACAGGAACCTATAATTTATAATGTTTTGATTATACGGTTTAGGTTTCTAATTAAGAGTATGGCATGGGTATTTTGATCTTTTTATCTCAATAAAAAGGAAAAAAGGGCAAGAAAACAAAATTAGAAACAAAAGGGCTTTGGTTTTTGAACGTGTTCAAATATGTTATTCTCCTGGATTCTTTATTCTTTACTATATTTTCCCCCTATTTTTTTGGCTTACGTTTTAAGTGTTTAACATCAACATGTTTCCAAAAGCCATAAATACTCTCCCAACAATTTTGCAACTTTTTCCTCTTCTCCTCTTCTCTTCTTTCTTTCTCTTTGTTTGGTGAAACCAACAAACGAAACCCAAGGAGAGAAGGGAAAAGAAGGGAGGTAGAATTGCCTTAGGAGATCATATTATAGGTCTCCAAATATAAAAAGAAAAAAAAAAGAGAAGAAGAAGAAGAAGAAAGAAATGGCTTTAAATCAAAGCTTCGTGTGTCTTATTTTCTTCTTCCTTCTATCTGGATTTGCCTCTTCTTCCACCCACATTTCAAGTAATTCTCCCATTCATTTGTTCTTGTTTTTCCGTTCTTACCTATTCCTTTGAATTCTTAAGCATATTAGCAATGTTTTTTTTTTCTTAAATATTTTGATTCAACATGACATTTAGTCACTGTTTAATTTGCAGATGGTGCCATTGAATCCCATGGAAGTACTGGACGTTACCTCCTTCAGGCCAAAAAGGGTATGTTTCTTTTTTGATGAACAAAAAAACAAAATAAAATAAAGAAAATCTTTGTGTCTGAAATTGTATTTACTTTCTATATTCATCTGATTATTGGGCTTAAACGCCTTGTATTGTGTAAGTTACTTTTGTCATTGGCCTTTTTCCTCACTAAATTTGGTATGGCATTGAGGCTTTGGATTTGGAAGATCTTCATATGACCATTTTGCTTTCTTTTTTACCTCCAATGTCACATTCATTTTCTTCTCGTTTTCATCAAATGTAAGGAACATAATCCAAAAAAGTTAAAAAGAAAAAAATAAAAAAGTAAAAAAATCATACATTAATCAATCAATGAATTAAATGTTTAAGTGTATGAAAACTATAAAATTTCTTTTGCCGTTTCTTTCAAAATTAAGCAAGCATTAGTTTAAATGACAGATACATGTCATGAATAAAAATAATTTACTTAATTTGAAGCTTTGAAAATTTTTTTTAAAAAAATTGATACTTTGAATCTCACAATTTTACCCTTGAAAGTTAAAAAGACTACTCACTCACGAAAGGATTGGATTTTTGAGGTGAAGAAACTTATATAACATGGGATGTTAGGTTCTTTTCTGTACTACCACAGCCAAGAAACTCATTGTCCAACAGCAGAAGGGTTAAACATGATGGAAATTGGAGAAAACTAGTTTCCTGAAAGTGCTTCCTGAATTAGAATTTAGAAGTATTCAATTTACACATATCCTGCAGCAGATAAATAGTAGTATATATAGTCTTCAGTGTCCTGCCTTCCTCTGTAGAAATACACAGATTATATGGAACATGCTTCAAAGCTCTCTGTAAGCATTGAAAAATAAACTAATATGATATGTTACATGTAACGTAATCAACCTGCAGCTTGCTCTGAAGACTTTCAGCACAAGAACTACACAATCATCACAAGCCAGTGCAAAGGACCCGAGTACCCAGCCAAAGGCTGCTGTCAAGCTCTCAAGGAATTCGCTTGCCCTTTCGCTGATAAACTGAATGACCTCAGCACTGATTGTGCTTCAACCATGTTCAGCTATATAAATTTGTATGGCAAATACCCACCTGGCCTCTTTGCCAATATGTGCCGTGAGGGGAAAGAAGGTCTCCAATGTTCTGAACCACCAACCCAAAAAAGCGGTGTGGTGGCCACGAAGCCTACATTGCTGATGCTCACATCAGGATTCCTAGTGTTGCTATTCCAGTTGTTCTAAAGGACAAAAATGTGGATAGCCACTTTGCCTTTTGTCATTGTTAATCCATTTTCCTCTTGTCTTGAGTATGATTTTTTAAAACGCCTGGTTTTCAGGCGATGTTTTCTACTATTTTGTAAGCTGTGGTTGATATCGTTTAATTAAAATATCCTAAGAGTATGATTCTATAAAGTATATATAATCTGTTTGTTTGTGCATAAACTAAATTCCTAGGTTGAGTGAAAAGGCTATGTTATTTCTTATGGCTGTGAACTTGTTTGAAATTCAGACAAGAGCCTTGAAACATTCTTGGATGTTTGCCTGGCACCATCTGCTTAATGTTCGAGATATTCCGAAAGTGATGTTTGGCTCTGAAAGTTTTGAGATATTTGTGGTTGTGTGTTGGGAACTAGGTTCAGTGGATTGAAGTGGATAAAGCATTGGAAAACTGGAGATTCCTTCTTTTGACATTAAGCGACAAGAAGTAAATTCTGGCTATTGAAAGCATCTGCCACAACATCCAAGTCTTTTAAAAACCTCTATTCCGATTGTTACTAGCCTTCACGTGTTCATGATCCATCAATCAGACAATTATCGAAAATATCACTAACCATTGATATTCATCAAATACATGGTGTCCGTCGCGCTTTAACACAACTAGCTAATAGGTGAATACAGAATACTAACGAGCAAATCACCAGAAGAAGCTCTACTTGATTACATGCAAGTAAAAGCATTGTGAACGAAATGAAATGAGTTTGATCTTCTCATGATAATGTTGTAGCAAAAGATTCAGCAACTAATTTAAGGTTTGTTCATTTGGGTGCCATGATAAAAGTTAAATCCCACACCCAAAA